AGAGCTGAATCGCAACACGGTGCGCGTGCAAGCAAATAGTTGGCGCTCCCGTGCGGGGTTAAAATTGTCTCGACAGATTGATTTTCCTTTTTGGCTCAAACTCTTATGAGGAGGCAATTCTATCACCTATTGAACCTTGTTAACGTTTGAACTTGGTTTAATCAAATCCAACCAACTTAACTGGTATTAAAGATGCTGTTACTTAACTGAATTAGTAATATGAGATAATTGCAGTGACTTTTGCTTTGGATTAGCTGAGTAAAAGAAGTGGAAAGATTGTAGATTCGTGGTCCTTAGAATGGGACCATAAGTTTCATTTTATAGCTAAAAATGGAAGAATTGGCCAACTCCGTGACGTCGCCTACAATACTTAGGTGGGCCTATTAGTTACAGTATTTTTCTTATTTAGTGTGCCAAAATCATTCAGCTAAAGGGCTTTTTATTGAATGACGAGGTCTTTTGTGACAGCTCATCATGATGTTTGAAATTGACACTATTATTCTTCGCTGCAATTTTGTGATTGGTTGACTTTGAAGTGCTTAGATCGCCATGCCACATGTCGTAAGGAAGTTGGGCGAGATAAAGTGATGACATTATCCAAGTTAAATCATTAATCATGATGTTTCACAATCACGACGGTATTTACCGAGCTGTTGGAGGAAGCTTTCAAGCTATTTGCGAGAACGATGTGAGGTTTAATTACAAAATTCACTTTAGGAACGTTACTTAATGACTAATCCTTTATTAAGAATCCCATGTCAACAAACTTATTTGGGACGCCCCAAAACCAAGATGCACCACATTAGAGCGTGAAGAACAAGTCTAGCATGAGAATTCAATTCTTTTTGTGTAATTTACATTATAAATATGTTATGCTAATTCTCTCCCCGTATTGGATGAAGATAAAACCTACTTATTTGAATTCAAGACAAGTAATTCCGTTATATTCTTTCATTACTTGAATAATCTTCCATGCTGAAATTCATTATTTGATTGTCTTAACACCAGGATTTGATCATGATTATAATAGACTTAATTTATCTTAAAAAAGAAAATTAAATAGCATAGGTTTCTTGATTGTCAAGAATGCATGAATAAGACCATATTACATAATCAAAAATTAAAGTAGAAAACAATATGTGAATTTGGAGTCCAATACACTAATTCTGTACCCACACAAGCCAATTTTTTTCATAGATTAATTTAGAATAATTACACAAAACAAATTTCTTTTGTCACACTTCGAATATGAATAGGCACTAGTACACTTTAATTGAATTTTATTCCTTTGGGACGATACACATTACTCACCACATATTACTTGTCAATGATCACATAAGCTTGTGGGAACTTCACAAACATTCATCCTTCAAATATGCCAAAAGTCACAAGGCGACTAAACCAATGGAGCAACTTCTATTCAAGAATTAGAATCAACAAAAGACGGGCAAGAAAAAGCATGTGATATGTCCACATCAATCTTGAATGTGTGCATTACTTTGGCAATAAATTTTTTCAATAAATATACATAGATCTCAAAACTAAACAAAAGTACCCAGTTCTTGCCACTTGCATTGTGGAAAAGTCCCAGAAGAAACAAACACAAACATAAATTATATAGGAATGGGTTTGTGTATATAGGAATGGGTTTGTGTATGTATCCCCTAATGGTCTGAGGAATAATCTATCATCATGACAAAGCAAACACGGGATTGTGAATTAATTTTCGAAGGCATTTAATGAAAAAGTTAAGACACTGACACAGAAATAGAGCTTAAACTGAGTATCCTGCTTTAAGTTTCACTTCAGTTCCCCAAGGTTTCAACTTTCACAATTTTCCAATGAACTCAAGGATCCTTCCTACATATGCTGAACTTTCCTTCTCAAAATGTCCAACGATCGACTGACAATTTAACATGCCCTGGAATTGATTCTTTACAAGAAAAGTGTCCCGCCTCCTCAGTTAATCATGTAGATGAGGACAGTTTTACAACAGAGAAGTTTTTGGACAGTATCATGGCAAGATTTAGGGTTAAGCAAAGGGGGCTAAAGTGCCACAATCCTAGTACTTCGGTTGAGTTTTCTGGTGAAGGTAATACATTTGATATTACTGCTTTTAGACTAAATTGTTAACAATCTATATTTATTTGGTTATGAAAATTTCTACTCGTGCATCATCATGCAGTCTTATGAAACCATATGTTATCTCTTGAAGCCTCGGAGCACAAGGCATTTTTATCACACAACAAGCTTTAGAGGCAAGAAATGAGTAACCCCATGTTCCCACAGGAAAGGACTCCTTAGAGTTCGTTTTGAACAAAGATGAGGCAAGCATAGAATACCAAATCATACAATGCACCCCCACCCCCATCCCGCAACAATAGGACTCCTTAAGTTCTTTCTTGTACAAAGATCAAGAAGCAATATTAAATATAAACCAAACAATTTATCACCAAGTCGCATATGCAACCAGTATAACTAAAGCTTTCTTCAAAATACATCATTCTACAACCACAATTGCACAACAACCAATCAAGAAGATGTGTCCAGGAAGCATTGAAAACCTGTCACATGTGAAAGCATGAATAACCTAACGAACGAATGGAGTCTAACAAAACTCCAGCCATTTCTTGTTTCTAAATATAATTGCTTTTAAAAGAACAGAGTCAAAATCAAAGTCTTGATTGCAAATGGAGACATTTCCACAGATTTCCAGTTTCTCTCCCTCCCAGAAGGCCACAAACATACAAACAAGTATTGGTGTCCCATTCTTCCCATCCCAGGACAAACTAGCATCCTTGCCAATTATATCCACAATATTATCAAAGAATTAGCCAATAATATATAACTAACCTCCCATTTCAAGTTACCATATCGCCATATAAAATTTCAGTCAAGATTTATTTTCAGAACAAGGTTCTTACAAACTCCCTACAAAAACTCAGTCATTACCCCCTTTCTTCCCCTTTTCCTTATTTATTAAGCAGCAAATACAACATTCATAACATCAAGATGCATCCGACACAGACAAGAAGGCTTTTCGAGAGTGATTGTACTGCTTACCAGATACGCAAAGAGGGATATGCTTCTCCTTATCCTTCCTCACTGATGCATAAAAGCTGGCACAAATAGGAATAATCATTCATGCAAATCTGTTCACTTGGGATATTGCTTGTGCCAGTCTAGCCAGTTTAGGACATAATTTCTCCAAGGGTGAGGACATAAAAGAAACATAGGTCGGTCAAAAGGTTTGTAATTTCCTCAGGAATGATGAAGGTAAGATAAAAGTGGTTGTTTATTGTTCAACCGTCTAATCCGATACTCTTCACATGGCACTGTCAAATAATACAAGTATTGTATAAGAATCTACAATGCACTAGCCCTTGTTAGTTAGATTTCTATTTTAAAATTCACCATGTTAGCTGTTTCCCATCTATTGTAGAAACTAATTAATAGTCATGTCTTCATTCTACTTGGCCAAAGAATTCTAGTTGACAAGAACTGAAAGCTTTAGAGCTTATAGACATCATATTTTCATATTTTGCAACCGAAATTTATGATTGTAATATTCCAATTCAGTATAAGAACTCCCTGGTTAGCTAATACAGTCCTCTTTCAAGTCATTTGACTAATGCTGCAACTGATGATATGATGTTCTTCCTATCTGCCTTCTGACTTCTTTCTCGTATACACCAAAATTTTACTAAAATCCAAAAAACCTCACATATATGATGCAAAACACAGCAACTCTCTATCTTTCAGAAGCTGACAAAACTCCATCTATGAATAAATGAAAATGGAAATGGTTTGTCCCCTCCAAACAAAAAGAAAAGATAAATTAGAGTGTAGTTTTCAGCTTTCAGATTGAACTCTCAATCTCTCCAAGAATGTCTTGTTCCATTCCATCCATAATAACATTAAATGTAATGGAATTAGCAAAGTTTATGGGGAAACAATATTATTTTAGAATAGTATCTCATTCTACAGGTACATCAAATGATTTTAATCTCCTCTTGTTCAGTATTCCTATTGTCTGATCATTGAAGGAAAACATGCCTTATGATCAACATACTGTCAATAATTTAGACCTCCTCTTCAAAAAATTGTAAGAGAAAGAATGAGAGAAAAGATCGCACACATAAGCTACGATTGGCTCAAGTGCAGTAGGATTATATATTATTAGAACACACAATCCATGTATGGCGTGACATAAATCTAACCCTTTTCGAAAAAAATAAAATAAAATCTGACATATATTACAGTGAATGATAATAGCTCAGCTAGTGTTAAACCTAAAACTTTGAAAATGACACGTATGACCGACATTATTTTAACAAAATAAACATAAATTGACAAACCACGAAACTAACCTATCCATTTCAGATTTATTCATTTTTTCCAAGCAACTTAGCACAACAAATATAGAGTCAATTGTGTCTGTTTTTCCTTGGCGTTTTCCCTTCCATTTTTTTGTCTTAACCAAGTTGTCTATATCAACTATTGTTGGTTTACAACCACAGTGAACAAACCACACAGTCAAGAGTAACTAATTAAGATGAATAGTCTAAATATTGATATAAGAAATAAACATTAATGGGACAAATGAAAAACAGAACTTCCAAATGTACCAAGCCAAAAGCATGAGACAAAGAGAAAAACTATAACTAATTTAGCATATAATTAGACATCACTACCCAAATAACAATAATACAACCTTCACTATCTGTTCAAAGTCTTAATAAATCCTGTCGCACATTCCCTAGCGTGAAAAAGACAAACAACAAAGGAAGAACATTTGCCATCATAGTTAATCAATATAATCAAGCGAATTGCAAGAAAATTACGACAAGGACCACCTCAATTCTTATTGTAACAGTTAATGCAATGTCCCAAAACACAAATCCATTTCAAATATTTTCTTATCTACACATTGTTTTTCTGGTAACATAAAAGCTAAAGAAATCACAGAAATTTACCCTCTCTAGAGCACAACCATTGTGTCAAACATCCATGTTTTCCATCTGAATGCTGCTCTTGAGAGGCACATATTCCCCAAGATATCCACCGAGATGATCATACAGTGCACTCTTATCAATCCCTTGATGATGATAGCTCTTGCAGACATAGTAAAACACACTCTGCACCAATAGCCCTACAAGATTCACAATCACCAAAATCCCAACGAGGAACCCGCCGACCATAATCCTTGTCAAAACCCCGTAATCCTCACCACCATGCACCACAATCGACCCAAATAGCCCATTAATCACTCCACAAATAGCCAAGTACCCAAAAACCAGTACAAATCCCATGCCAATTTTCCCCTTCAACAACTCGTAGCTCTTCTTCATCGCTGAAAACCCATAAATAGGCTCAAGAACAGACACCACACTAGCCAGATGCCACAATGCACTTATGTAAACATGCACAACTAAAAACAACAAGACCACAACCAGAATCGAGAATATAAACAAGACAATGTTCTGGGTGTCCACCGCAATAATCAGAAGCACGAGAAATCCCAAGAAAAAAATATTGTAAAGGACCATAGTGAGAGAAACCCACAAGAAGGTGATGAAGAGCCGCTTGAAGACACTGGGAATGGCTGCCATGGTGGAGGAGAAGGAGACTGGCTTGGAGGTGTAAAGTGAGGCGACGGTGAAGACAACAGCAGCGGTGGACAGGAGCGAGAAGGCAAAAAGAAAGATGAGGTAGCAGAACTGGAAAATAAGGAGCTTGGACCACTCGGAGGAGGCGGCATTGGACCCAGTTGGCTCGGACTGAAGCTGAGAGAGGATGGGGTGGGTGAAGAGCGAGTGGGCCAAGATGGCGAACGACAGTGGGAATATTAGGGTTAAGGTTATGAGGTAAAAGGTTTTGGGGGATTGTTTAGGAATGAAAACTGATTCTTTAAGGATGTCTTGGATGCTCAAGAATTGCAGTTCTTCA